CACACTTAAAAAAAAAAAAAAGATGTTCATTGTCAGATTATTTATAATATTGAATAACTGGAGACAATTTAAATGTTCACCAATAGGAAAATTGTTATGTAAACCATGATAAACCTATTATGCAACCACTAAAAAATGTTTATGTTGACTATGTGATAATACCCCCCAAAATGTGTGCTACTAAAAGAAAAAGCAGAATGCTAGTACGTTTACAGTGTGACTACCTAACAGAGTAAATAAACCTACATATAGAAAAAAATATCTGGAGGAATAAGTAACACTTTCTGGGGAGCACTCTTGTGGAAGTTACCAAAATCGTGAAATACTCGTCTCTCTCGACTAGGCGATTCTCTGGGTAAAAATTTGCTCTAAAGAAACAACAGGAGAGGCATCTGGATGGCTCAGTCGGGTAAGCGTCCGGCTCTGGATTCAGCTCAGGTCATGACCTCACGGTTGGTGAGATCGAGCCCCGCATTGGGCTCTGCGCTGACAGCACGAAGCCTGCTTGGGATTCTCTCTCCCTCCCTCTCTCTCTCTCTCTCTCTCTCTCTCTCTCGCTAAATAAATAAACATTAAACCAAAGAAGAAGCAACAGGATATATGTTGTAAATACATCTATAAGGATGTTCGCTGCAGCACTGTTTGTAAGAGAAAAAAAGTTTGAAACAATCTAAATGTCAAGAGGTATTGAATATGTAGATCACAGCACATTTCTACCGTGGGCTACGATTCAGCAGTTCAAGGGCACATCTTCCTGTAGTTACATTCCCATGACACACTGCTTGGTAAAAAAGAGTTCCCGAATCAGTGTGTGGAGTATGGTCCATTTAGGTTAAACTGGCATATATACGTAATTAGTTAGGAAGCGTGGTCCACGTATTTGTTTTTATCTTTAGAGTTGTTCAATTGTGGGGATTTGCTTTCTCTGTGCTGCTTGAATATTTTTATAACAATCCTGCATGATCAGAACAAAATCAAGAAGGATCGTTTCTTTTTCTTTTTTTCTTTCTTTCTTTTTTTTTTTTTTT